TGTGTCTGGGTCGTCTCATTCTCCTTGTGCCACCCACACCACAAATCCGTCCGTCCGTCCGTCCAACCAACCAACAACTAGCAGCATCAGATAGAATTGCAATCTACTTTTTGAGTGCCCAGATTGAGTTAAACGTATAAACCTTTTCTCAACCAATGGCATGAGTTGGTGGAACTAACGGTCCGGCCAGTGGCATTTAGTGAGTGTTTAAAACTTATTTAAAGAGACAGTCACTATCTGTGGGGTTCTGTTTGGTGCTGCGAGTGTTTTTCATTACCTGATGATGCACCTCATAACTGCATAATTCATGATCTCTTGATTGACCTCATGTCGAGTGACTATTCCATAAATGAGACTAAGATCACTGGGTGAGAGGGAGGGAGTGTGTGTGCGCCTGTAGCAGCAGAGCGTCAGCCACCCAAATGAACAGAGGTCTTTCTTGACAGATGAGTCCATAGAAATCTAATTTATGGCTAATAACAGAAAAAGCCTTTTCAGCCTCTTCTCAGAGTGTCCCACCGACAGCACAGAATTGAATACTGTGCCAGAATCAAATGCAGTTTGACTCCTAACAAGATTCTATTATGTTTGCCGCTGAGGGATTCTTATTGAAAAGGTAAAGTGGCTCACTTTAGTTTAACAGCTGGTGATGCTTAATTGCATCAAATGAGGAAGCCTATCATTTACATTTATGCATTTGGCAGACACTTTTATCCAAAGCGACTTACATTACATTTAAAGGTATAATTAAATTCTTATCAGTTCTTGCTTTCCCTGGAAATCAAACCCATGACCTTTCACGCTCTACTGTTTGAGCTACAGGAAGGCTATCATTTAGACAGGGTGTCTAAACGCCTTTTTCTGGGCTTTTTCTAAACACACATTTGTTTTTGGCCAGAAGCAATTAATTTATTCCTGTGATGGCCACAGTGAATTTCCTGTGCATTTTCTGCAGTCATTACTCCAGTCTTCAGTGTCACATTCTAATATGCTGATTTGGTGCTCAGGTAACAATCCCGTCAGGACCACTATCGTCAAAGATGATTGACAAATAGCATACAGTTTGTATTGGTGGTATAGTTCTTCTCTAGGCAAGAACTCCTCATCCATCCATGCAGTGCATTAATAACAACATAAATGTTTTGTACCATGGACACACGAGGACTCTCACTTACACAGCCTTGTTCAGCAACATAAGAGAACTATAAATGCCAGTATTCGTGTTATCGAGCTTTAATGCGTTTATGATTCGATATCTTGGTACATCTCTCTGCCTCAAGGTTCCTGTCTCTGTGATTTTGCCATACTGTTGACCACTTCCTTTTTCTTTCTCTTTCATTTTTTTTTTCATTTGTTTGTTGCTAATCGGTTGTATATACATGTATTCCGTGTAGTTTAAGTTCACCTATATATATATAGTTTTCCTTTATTAAATACATTATATTCATTTGATTGGCTGTCTCGTGCACATTTCAAAGTACAATTTAATGTGATCAAGCTATGAGCTTTACAAAATTGCCAATACTTAAATAGTATTTTTATAGAACAGGAAAGTTAATTTTCATGGCCAGAGAATAACTTCTGTTGAACATCTATAATAACTTTCATGAGGTGTAATGAAAATCGGACGATCAGTTTTGCTGGATGAAGCAGGTCGTTCGATAACAAATTGACCCCACGCAAGAGTATCTTGGAATCGATCTATCCTAGACAATTGACATATTGATATTCAATTATAATTTGTTGTGATTGATTATACAATTGATCTAATTTTAGCTACCTGTATGGAGAACAGACTATAATTCGTTGTATTCAGTTGTCCAAACAGGCCGTTGGTAACTTTTCCCTTTACGGGTAATTTTATAATCTGTAGGTGATCCCCGATCATGTTTATGATTCGTTATTAAAATTATATTCCCTGTATCTGAGCATCCCTACACTACTATCTACTATATCTAAGCCATAGTCAAAGTCTATCTTGTTGAAACTGGCTGAGTCTTATAGAAAACTGAAGAGGAGAGAAATGATATCAACATGGAGAGATTCTTTATGGAGGAATGGTGTCTGATCTCTTGTCAGATGTTCTCAGAGCTGTTATTATGTGAAAAGGAGGCTTCTTTTCTGACCAGGACTGTATGGTCGATCAATGCAATTTTAGTTTAACTGGTGCTCTGTAATATTGGCCGTATTTATTGCTTGTATGGAAGTGTCTTTGTATTATTTTTAACATCACTTGTGGGAGTATTCTTTCAAATAGCTGTTAAATGTCAGCAGTACAGGCCCAGGCGTGTGCGAATATGACTTATTTATTTTCGTAAGTCATCAAAAATTAAATATTCATCAGGTTTGGCATCCCTGGGAGCCCCTTTGCACTCTGGGACAGCGAGAGAGATAGAGTGTGTTTAAAGGAATCTTGTGAAAGGAAGTGGTAAAAACCCCATCAATTTTCACTCTACTTTTGAAATGCTCCCATCTGGGTGTTGACTCAAAATTCCTTTGGCCAGAAGAAATGCGTATAAAAAATAGTTTATTCCAATGGCAGTGATTATTTTAAATTGCACTATTTACTATTTTCTGAAGTAATGCAAGAGAATGGTTGGCATTATAGCACTTTTTTAATTGATTGATTAGATGTTTTAAAAAATGTATACACTCAACTAAGAGATTATTAGGAACACCTGTTAAATTTCTCATTAATGCAATTATCTAATCACATGGCAGTTGTTTAAATGCATTTAGGGGTGTGGTCATGGTCAAAATCAAGATAATCTCCTGAACTCCAAACTGAATGTCAGAATGGGAAAGAAAGGGGATTTAAGCAATTTTGAGTGTGGCATGTTTGTTGGTGCCAGACGGACCAGTTTGAGTATTTCACAATCTGCTCAGTTACTGGGATTTTCACGCACAACCATTTCTGATCATTCACGCACAACCATGGAAAAACATCCAGTATGTGGCAGTCCTGTGGGCGAAAATGCCTTGTTGATGCTAGAGGTCAGAGGAGAATGGGCCGACTGATTCAAGCTGATAGAAGAGCAACTTTGACTCAACTGAGGTTTGTAGCAAAGCATTTGTGAGGCGGACGGGCTACAACAGTAGAAGACCCTACCAGGTGCCACTCATCTCCACTACAAATAGGAAAAAGAGACTACAATTTGCAACAGCTCACCAAAATTGGACGGTTGAAGACTGGAAAAATGTTGCCTGGTCTGATGAGTCTCGATTTCTGTTGAGACGTTCAGATGGTAGAGTCAGAATTTGGCGTAAACAGAATGAGATCATGGATCCATCATGCCTTGTTACCACTGTGCAGGCTGGTGGTGGTGTAATGGTGTGGGGGATGTTTTCTTGGCAAACTTTAGGCCCCTTAGTGGGCATCGTTTAAATGCCACAGCCTACCTGAGCATTGTTTCTGACCATGTCCATCCCTTTATGGCCACAATGTCCATCCTCTGATGGCTACTTCCAGCAGGATAATGCACCATGTCACAAAATTCGAATCATTTCAAATTGGTTTCTTGAACGTGACAATGAGTTCACTGTATTAAAATGGCCCCCACAGTCACCAGATCTCAACAATAGAGCATCTTTGAGGTGTGGTGGATCAGGAGCTTCGTGCCCTGGATGTGCATGCCACAAATCTCCATCAACTGCAAGATGCTATCCTATCAATATGGGCAAACATTTCTAAAGAATGCTTTCAGCACCTTGTTGAATCAAAGCCACGTAGAATTAAGGCAGTTCTGAAGACGAAAGGGGGTAACACAGTATTAGTATGGTGTTCCTAATAATTCATAGATGAGTGTATGTTAAGAATGATGTGGATCGTATAACCCTTTTTTAATTCTGTATTTGTGTTGTCAGTGTGTGTTGTCTTATTAAGGATATGGATGTATTTATGTATATGCTACTGTATGTGTGATACCAGTGTCAAAGACAAATTTCCTATCTGTGACAAACAAAATGGACAAAGTTAACCTTAACCTAACCTAAATAGAGACAGATATAAAGATGTAACTTACACAGAGTTTAAAGTTAGGTGTAGGAAAGTTTTTTTTTTTTTTTTTTTTTTTTTTGTGGTGAATATGGTATTATTATTATTATTGGTGTTCGTGAGAGAGAAGCACCAAAGAGTCTGACGTACATGGTAATTAGAGATTTAGAATGATATGAATATTTGATAATTTCTCTGCTTCACCCTAGGCTGAGAATAGACCATTAATCATAGAAATCACACCTCATTTCTGTATTTCCATTTAATGCTGGCTTTTTCTTCCCCTTCAAACATGATTCAATGGTTCTGCAGCCTCACTGTAGGATTATGTTACATGGTCTTCAAATTGAAAAGCAAAGGTTAAAGATTAAGCTTTTTTTGTATACAGTTTTTTAAAAAGAGATTTGTGTATTTCCTCGCTGTCCTTGTGTCCTCAGTCTTCAATTTTGTGAAATGCAGACTTCAAGCTGCAACTAACTTTTGCAATTTTTTTTATTTTCAAATTGTGAAATAACTTTAATAAGCCCATGCATTTAAGCCAAATTGTTTTTTTTTTAGAAAAAAAAAATATATATATAAATACAGAAAACATGAAAGAAATTGTTGCACAGCGCAGCAATACACATGCTGTTACTTTCATTTTACCTTTTAGTTTAGTCAAGCAAATTATTAAGAACGCCGCTTAACAATTTTCTTGGGGACATTTAAGAAGTAAGGGAGAATAACTAGTGGAGAGATAGATCATCAAATGTTGCATACGGCTCCTTTTGTGACTTAAACCAGACACTCCTTTTGCTTACTGTTCTTTCTGTACCTGTTAACTTTTGATTTAAAGGGTTTGTACTTGTAAGGTCAAAGATGTTTTATTATGAGAAGATAGTCTATTGAGTATTTGCTCTAACACTTTAGCTGAATCCCTTTTAACCTTTTAATAATGACAGACCTACACACATACATGCATGTGCGCACACACACACAAGCTCTTACAAAGAATCAATTGCCCTTCTCTGACTTTTTCTATCTTCTCCAGCTCTATCTCTCTATTTGTCTCTCATTCACCCCAGTTCTGCTCTTTATTACTGTGGTCATATCAAGAGTGGGCTGTAGAAGCGTGTCCCTCTCTGCAGGCTCTGGGATGAGGATGAATCCATGGGGACAGAGATTACACTTAAGGGTCTTGCAGCATGTCTGCTGACAGACAGACAGAGAGAGAGAAAGAGAGAGAGAGGAATTGGATGAAATCTCATTAAACTAGCATTACCTCTTGAGAAAAGCTGTCTAGTTCTCACCTAGACAATCACACGACACTTGACCCTCATGGATTACACTAATTTTAATGTATGCATATACACTCTGTCAGAACTCAATTGTCAGACAGTTTACAATTGTGGTGACTTTTATGTTTCTGATGTTTTGATGGAAATGCCTCAAGAGGAAAATATAAAAACAAATGAGACAACTGTTGATGTATAACAATATAGTGCAATACAATAAATATATGTGTGTGTGTATATATATATATATATATATATATATGTATATGTGTGTGTGTGTGTATATGCCTATGATTTATATTATGATACCTGATTGATATATATATATATATTTTTTTATTTATTTTATTTTATTTTTTTCCATACATTTTTAATTCAAATAATTTTAGGACTAATTATAACCAGAAGACTTGAAAATTAACCAGAAGACTTAAATAGTATAAATAGTATGAACTATTATTGAACCACAATTGGTTCATGTAATATCACTGCTGACAATTGGAGACACAGTTGAAATCGACAGATGTCATCTGTATTTTTTTTTTTTACCATGTTCACCTCTCTGTGTTTCTGCTCTCTGTCTTTCTCAAGACTGACGGTTAAGGTAAATTGGACTTGGGTAAGTGAAAGGTAGAGGAAAATTGGAAATAAAGAAGTTTAGGGAAGGGGAATTGGAGAGTTAAGATCACGACTGTACTATTTGTCAGCCGTGCCAGATAATCTTGGGTGGAAAGATTGAGACACCTTCTTCAGTGATGGACACATTTTCTCTGGGGCTTTCTGCAGGATTCATTAGCCATTGGACCGTGTTGAAAAAAAAAAAACAATCGAGTGAAGGACAGAATGCTGGTTTTAAGAAAGATCTCATTGTAAGACTGTACAAACGCAGGCTCTGTTTCTGTAAGGGCTTCTCAGGCCATTATTCTTGATTGGATGAATAATGTCACTGTAAATAGAAATGTCTTTGAGCTATCTACTTCTGATTAATATTCACAAATGAGATGTTCAACCCATACTGATATTAATGAGCTAATTTGGAGATAACATTCTCTGGAAACAGTATTTGAGTATTAATATCAACAGTAATAACAGTATTACACATAATAATAACAGTATTATTTCTGAAAATAATAATTTTTTTATTTTAAATGATAATTCAGTTTAAAGTAATAATTTTTGTCCAATTTTGATAATGATGCCTTTCTCATTCAGATTTTTCCCCTTTCATGTCAACCAAGTGATTTCTAAATGAAAAAGGCAAAAATAAGCAGTCTTGCTGTCGGTTAGTTTGGTAATCTGCTTTGAGGTCTTCATAAGAACATATATATATAATTCAGTACACTGAGTTCTGGATCAAGATGCAGATTGATCTAATTTTTTCCCTTTGCTCAGTCTTAAAGGGATAGTTCACTTTGAAATTAATTTTTGGTATGTTTAGCTTACCTCACGGGCATCCAAGATGTAGGTGTCTGTTTCCGCAGTAGTTTCAATTTTGATATTTTTGCTTGTCTGTCAGTCATATAATGCAGGTCTATGGTCACCACCTCAAAGAACATGCACAGAGAAGTCCAAATTAAACATGATTTAATGACTCGTAAATGTAAGTACACATTGATGGCCTAAGACACGAAACGAGCGGTTTGTGTGAGAAAACGAACAGTATTTATATCGTTTTTACCTCTTGTAACCACAGCCACGTCCAAGTGATCTGAGGGCGCGGGCGCTTTGTGGCTGTGGTAAAAAGAGGTAAAAACTATATAAATACTGTTCGTTTTCTCACACAAACCGCTCTTTTCGTGTCTTAGGCCATCAATGGGTACTTACATTTATGTTGTTGGATGCTCTTTGAGGTGGTGACCATAGACCTCCATTATATGACTGATATAAACGAACGGTTTGACCTAAAAATATCAAAATTGAAACAAAGACACCTACATCTTGGATGCCCTTGAGGTAAACTAAAACATACCAAAAATTAATTTCAAAGTGAACTATCCCTTTAACAATCCAAATAGGTGTGTTAATAAATCCAAAGTGCTTATTGTAGACTGGCACTTATACTATATTTGTTCAAAAGTTATTTGCAGTATAGTTTATGTACATGATAATATCGCGATTAATTGATAGATTAATTTATGTGGAGAAGCGAAAATAAGATGTTGAGTTTGAGAAATAGAGTTTAAAATCATATACTAGTAGTACTTTCATTCAGCTAGGATGCATTACATTGATCCAAAGGGACGGTAAAGACTTTTATATTGCAAAAAAAACAAAAACAAAATCTACCAAATGCTGTCGCATTTATCAAAGAATCCTGAAAATATGCTTTCCACATAATAAATAGAAATGTTGCTTGAGCACTAAATCAGCATATTAGAATGATTTCTAAGTAATGATGCTGAAAATTCAGCTTTGCCATCGCAGTAGTAAACTGCTATTATTTACCATAGAAAGCAGTTATTTTGAATTGTATTAATATATAATATTTCATAATATTACTGTTTCTGCCCTGTTCCTGTCAAATACATTAAAACAATCTTACCAACTCCAAACTTTTGAATAGTAAAATGCAACAAACCATTGTATGACCATTGCCTAAAAAATGTTAAAGACCTGTAACCTGTTAATACGGACCTTGAAATAAATATGCTCCACTTACAGTACATTGATTGTGTGTAGAAGAAACAGGTCTCAAAATGATGTTAGACGTGTTGAACTTGTGAAAATATAAGACAACTAGGAAGGAAAGTAGGACAAAGTAATTTTTTTAAGTGTGTCCATTTTTGATTGTGAGAAAGGATGATTGTGGATTGTTCTTTTTTCTTTCTATAAAGTGTTTCCTAAATAAATAAGGATTGATGGAGTCTGGTCTTCCTCATAATGTAAACCGACAAGCACGGATGCTGTTAAGGACATTTTTATTATGGACATTTCATCAGGACTGAAGTGACAAGAAGAGGAAGGCGATCTTGTGAAATAATTTTCCTTTAAAATCTTACATGTTTTGAAGCTTAGTTAAAATATGACCTTTCGGACTAGAGAAGTTTTGGAGTTGTGAAAGTTACTTTGTTAACATTTCACTGTTCCATGAAAAGTGTCCATATTATTCAAATCAGACTAGTTTCTCTAAATGTTAAGTATTGAGATTTGTACAGTATTGAGATTTTGTATTGAGATTTGAGTTGCTTTGGGGAGAGATGATGGATGCATTTGCATTTGTCTTCATATTCCTCTGTACTGGCAGCTCTCATTGCGCTCTTGTGCCACTTTATATCTAGGTTTAATTATGCCTGCTTGTTTTGACCTCTGACAGCCTATTTCAACCTGTCTGTGTCCCTGCACATAATAACTATTGCATTTACATAAAATGATGAATATTTAACACCCAAACACACACACACTTAAAGGAAGATGTCACATCTCAGTTTTCCATTACAATACTTGTCTGATTCCCATGATGTCGTCACATGAGTTTCTTTATTTTATGCATAAAAAATTGTGGAATTTCTGAACTAAGTTTAAAAAAAAGAAAAGAAAAAAAGCTAACATTTAGTTGGCCATTATAATTTTTAAATAGGTGAAAGTCAGTCATAAAGGTTTGGAACAACATGAAGAGGAGTAGGATGACAGGATTTTCATTTTTGGGTGAACCATATAAGAATCCATTCTAATAGATATAGATATTAATGTTCTATGCTCTTATTTTGCAGACAAGTTTAATGTTTACGTCACATTGAAGGTCCAGAATGTTAAAAGCACAACCATAACGGTGCGAGGAGACCAGCCCTGCTGGGAACAGGACTTCATGTTGTGAGTATTGCTGTTTTTCGTCTTGTGTTTCCATGCTTTTGGAAATATTTCTAGTACCATAACACTCAAATTTGCACCTAATGCATGTCCTTTTGCTCAAGGACTTTAAAAACACTCAACTTATTTGCTGTGCAAAATGGAAGATTGTGTTTATGAGCAGATCAAACTAGATGTGCAGACATGTTATGTACAAGAAAACATAATAGTTTATAAATAAACAACATTTATTTTAGGGTAAAGGATAACTTTGTTTCTATATAAAATTTAGACTTATGTTCTGAATTTCTTCATACACTCTTAGAAAAAAGGGTTCATTGGGGTTCTATATATGAAGCGTAGGCTTCTTTACTCAACTCCAAAGGAACTTTTATGCTAAAAAAAGGTTTTATAATGACAAGAAAGAACCCTTTTGTCACAAAGGTTCTTTATAGGCTATTATTCATTAATATATTACATTATTCTGCAACATTTTGTAGTTGTGTAATTAAGTTATTGTTTATTAGTAACTTAATGTCACATTTTAATCATGCCGATTTTTGGAGGATAAAAACTGAAATGTCACTCTTTGTGTGATATTGATTAATTACATTTTTTAACCCCAATATCCCCATTTTAGGGGTTCCAAATAAGTAGCGCTTTAGAACCTTTTAAGGTTCTATATAGAACCTTCTTTTCTAAGAGTGTAGAGTAGAAAATTATAATGGTTGATGTTTATTTGTTCCTGCTTTAAATTACACATACGCACAGTTATCTTACCTTTGACCCTCTTCTGTTGTAAAGGCAAATGTTAAATAGCTTTTTGATGGCCTCTCGTGAGGTTTTGTGCGTCCCAGAAATTGTCCCCGATTTTCTGATTGTTCCATAGAGAATTTTGGCAATTGCTCAGGAAGAGCTGTGAGAATCAGCTGCAGTTACAGTGCTTACTAGAGAGAGAGAGAGAGAGAGAATAGGACTGGGAGTTTACAGACAGATTGACATTTAAAGCATTTTATTGTTCTATTCAAAAAGCACAACTGTTTAGTTGTCCGTTTTATTCCAATATTGTCGTTATTTTCAGATTGACATATTTAGATTAGGTTAATGTAATTTTTAAACATTATTAGTGGTAAGTGGTTTTTATATATGAAGAGTTCAGATGCAAAAGCCTCTAAATGCCATTTGAAATTTTCTTCTTTAATGATGATTTTTATCAAACGTGTATATTTAAGTTCAGTAATTTCACTTAAATGGCAATGATAATTACCTATTAATTGTTATTTAAGTGAAATTACTGAACTTAAATATGCAAGTTTGATAAAAATCATCATTAAAGAAGAAAATTTCAAATGGCATTTAGAGGCTTTTGCATCTGAACTCTTCATATATGTAAAAGCCGCTAAAATTAGTGCTGTCAAACGATTAAAATATTTAATCACATTAATGTCATAGTTAAATTAATCGATTAATCTCACATTTTTATCTATTCTAAATGTCTCTTGATTTCTTTTTGTCCCGTTATTATTATTATTATTTTTTTTAATGCCCTTATCAACATGAAAAACTAGATCGCCTTGCTTTGTGCAAATGTCTTTTTATTGTATTTTATTGTCTTTTAATACGGTGTTCAATTTCACACTAAAACATTTTCTCTTAGAGCAAATAATCTCTCACACAATGTAAAAAAAAGAAATACTGAAAGAAATACTGACGAGGTCCTGATATTGACGAGGGGGCGGAGAATTCGCATCAGCTGTGTGTGTGTGTGTGTGTGCTTGGCCATCAAGTGGTGTTTCAGACTGGACGTGCTGCGATGATAGCTCAGTTCACAACGACAAAACAACGACAAAACACGCAGATCACTTTGGTCTTGTCAATGGGACCATTTGGCAATTGGCAACAAATAGTATTGGCATCCATTTCGACGTGTTGCACTCGTCATCCTTATAACGTAACGTTAAACTTCTATTTGGCCGGCTCGCAACAAGTGTGTTTTCGATCTACTTCTTTCAATAACATAAATCTTTAACAACCCCAAACTTTATGGACAGTATTGTGTATGGACACAGGTGTCCTAGCAGAATAAGCAAAGGTTTAGTCCATCACATTATCTATAAACATGTTCTTCTAACCTTTGACAACCAGAAGTAATAAAACACTTGATGTTGGGCACTCTGTCTGGCTAAATGTCATCCACGAAGGCCTGAAATCAAAAGCAATGTTCTTTCTACCACTTTCAGAAAGTGTTGTATAATTATATGGATAGTGTGTTTGGATTTTAGGCCAGTTGCTCAGCTTTGTGTGCCTGTTCTCTTTAGACGGAGGTTCCTCTGTGCCTGGATTATTGTCCTGCTGCTCAGCACTCGCGAATGATCGGCAGGTTAAAATCCACACACACATAACACACTTTCTCTTAGGGATTGAAGCAGCATTGTGTGTAGAGAATAGAAGGGCAAAGTGAATGTATTAAAGACAGAGAGAGAGAGAGGGGGGTATTAATAGCAAGAGGCTAGCAGGAGGTTTCAGATGAGTAAATGTGAAAGGCTTGTTAGTGTGACACATTATGCAGAAAACTGCCACACTATCATTTAGAGCGGACGCAATAATTCCCAGCAGTCATTTCTGTCTGTGGCTAGACTCTTCTGATATAGATGGCCAGTTTAAATATGATTCCCAGAGATGACAGGCAAAATGAATGCATCATCATTCTATCCAGATATTGGGACATCTTCAATAATAGATTAGGTTACAAGTGTTTTTCCTGGTGGAACACTCACACAAATGCGTCGTCACGTAAGTTTGCCAATATAGTGTCTGTCATGAAATACTGTGGGGAGAACAAGTTTTTGATACACTGCCGATTTTGCAGGCTTAAAAGAATGTAGAAGTCGTTAACTGTGAGCGATGGAATCTAAAACGAAAATCACATTGTATGATTTTTAAGTAATTCATTTGCATTTTATTGCACGACATAAGTATTTGATCGCCTACCAACCAGCTAAGAATTACAGCTCTCACAGACCTGTTGGTTTATCTTTTAAGGCCGTGTTTACAAGAGAACGCTCGTGGGTGAAAACGTAAAAATATTTTATCGGATGTGCCTTTCGTTTACACGGCGACGGCATTTTTGAGGCTTAAAAACGCAAAAAAAGTGAAACGACCCTCCAGGGTGGAAGGAAGTGTAAGTGGTACATGCTTTGTAAGTGGAAAAACCCGCAATATCGGCAGTGTACCAAATACTTGTTCTCCCCAATATACGTTTTCCAATTCAACAAGATTTGATGCTTTCACACTTAATTTAATTGTTATGTTTAAATTAAAGAAATAACATTCATTGCACTGGTTCTGCAGTAGTTAATGTGTTTTGGACTACAGTGGCCTGTTTTGTTACAGTTTTTATTAGTATTACTATTTTGTTTTATTCGATTTTTATTAATTTAATTAATATTATTATAGTCTGCTGTTTTAATGACTGGTTTTATCTGACAAACCGTAAAGTAAAGTTTTGGTAAACCAAAAGTCTCCGTAACTGCACAAATTAATTTGTTGTATTATTTTTTTATATACATCACCTCAGTTTGGTTGTGTAAGATAACGGGGACATTTTAGGTTCAGTTTTGGAACATAATTGAAAACTCCAGAGTCCATATTAACATCATGTTGACTTTTGGGTATTAAAAATTTGAATTAAACTTAAATGGTCATGTAAATGGGTCTCTCAGATTTTATAAAATAAATTTGTTTAACTAATATTTAATTAATGGTATAAAGAGCTGTGTCACTTTTTTAAATTGAGTTGCTCTACAAACAAAAACAAATATGTTTTACCAGTTTGTTTTTATTGGAGTTTCCTGAGGTCATAACAGAGTATACTAAATCAGTCGATATGGACTAAAATCTGCCCTCTCTTAAGAGGTTTACGAGCCCAAAATAGATGCTTTGGTGTGTAAGCTATTATCTAGAGATTACCGCTCAAATTGTTAGTATTATATTTCTATGATTCCTGATTCAGTGATATGGTTAGGAAATGCTTATGTGACACCTGAACAGAAAATATATTTGTTTAATTAAATATTTTAATTAAATTACTAGTGCCATTTGTTTAGGTCAAATGACAATTGAACAGCAGGGGAATGACACATTTCTGGTTTAAAATACAGTCGCATATAGAAACATGCATGCCATGTAAAATGAAACATGCTTGCGTCACTGTAGGAGAAAATCCTGGTCTTGTGGAGTGGAACAAAGCCATGTGATTATGTAATGTCAAGATTAGGATTTATAACAGCTGGATTATAATGTAGATAATAATGGAATACACATGGATGCATTTTTCCTTACATCTTTTTTTATTTACATTTTCATCAACTTTAAAAAGACTATTATACTATATACATACTTAAGACTATTATACTATATACATACAACTTAAACAAGAGTAATTGAAATCCCTCAACACAACAAATGTTACAAGTGGTTTCCACACATTCAACTGAAAATGCAACTTTGCGTTCTCAAAATTATTCAGTCCCTTGAAACATCCACACAGGATCCATTTCAATTAGCTACTCTTGTTTGATTTGTTCATTACAAACAACTGAAAGTGTGTAAATTTGACCAATAAACCTTATTTTCTTATTTGTGGTTGAATAATTTCATTTACAACTGTATACAGTGGGACAAAGTGTATATGCTTTCCCAGGTGTGTGTGTGTGTGTGTGTGTGTGTGTGTGTGTGTAAGAGTGTGAGTGTGTTGTGATAAAGAGGATGAGTGTTGAGCTTTTATCTGCTCTTTGGGGGGTTAAACTGACGCATACTGCAAGGGATGAGACTACTAAGGGTCCAGACAATTTGAAAGCGATAGACAGACACAAAGTGAGAGAGAGATGGACAGTGAAACCATTTGATGAACAAAATTGCGGAGATCAAATTCCTAATATTTAATCATATATATATATATATTGTTGTTATTATCAGTGTTGAAACGGATGTGTTGCTTGATATTTTTGTGGAAACCTTGACATTTTTTGAAGTCTTTTATGAGAGTTTAGAGAGGCTTTCAAGATATTGTCATGTTGTCTAATGATCTGCAAGATTATTATTCATTGTTTAATTCGTCTAATCACTCAGTGGCCGTTTTTGTTTGGGCATATCCAAGTTGGATTTGGACCGTAAAGATTAGTTCACACATTGACAATAAATGAAAATTAAGTATTTTTACTCACCCTCATGTCGTTCCAAACCCTTAAAACTTTCTACAATCTTTGGAACAAAAATGAAGATATTTTTAATAAAATTTGAGCCAGTTCTGTACTCTTCATTGATAGCTACAACTACCAATTTGATGCTTCAAAAAGTTCATAAAGAGATTGTAAAAGTAATCCTATGAATCTAGTGGTTTAGTCCAGATTTTCTGAAGAGACACGATCACTTCATACGATAAACAGACTGATTTTAGGCTTTTGTTCACATATAAACATTGATCAGCGAACATAAACAGAAGCTCAACTGAACCTGTTTGACACACGAGAGCGAACCTCATTGGTTTTCATATTTGTGTGGTGTGTATGGCAAAATGACTTGATAAAATGTCAGTCCATTTTTGGCAATAGTAGGGTTTGATAACTTCTTTTTTGAATGACCTTTTATTGTCATTCCTTTTTACAAAGAGACATCCATCCACAATAGCTAGCCAAACCCGGACCTCTTGGGTTCAAGTCTCAAAGGAGAAGATTCACAACCACTATTCTGACCTACTTGCAAGATGCTCAACTGCTTTAGATTTTTTTGGGATAAGAAATTGTTTGCTAAGTGAGAAAGGTAGTGAAATGGCTCGCTGTATTAAAGGTTTGCTGCCAGCATCAAGCTCTTTAGAGACCACAGAGAACCGCTGAAGAAGAGAGGGAGAGACAATTATGAGTTTTACAGAGAAATTAAAATATTTAGAGGTAGCAGGATTCCGAAAAGACTCACTGTTCTGATCGTAGTGTTCAGAGAGACCTATAATTAATCCCTATTCTTCCACTTCCTAATATAATGACTTTGTCTTTTTATTAAATATGATTGTGAAGAATGGGTCTTGGAATTCTCCAGAGAATATTTCTGTTCTTGTAGTTTAACTTCTCTATATATTTTAGTGAATATTAGGAGCTGTTTAGACCAATTTTGAAGTAAAGTGATAACCCTAAAGCAGAGTCCACAATAGTCACACTGCCAGTTTTATTATTATTATTATTTTTTTTATTAAAGGGATACTCCACTTTGTTTGGAAATAGGCTCATTTTACCACTCCCCCAGAGTTAAACAGTTGAGTTTTACTGTTTTCAAATGCATTTAGCCGTTTTTCTGGTATTTAGAAGAATATCAGTAACCATACAGTTTCTGGTATCACTGACTTCCATAGTGGGAAAAAAATATACTATGGAAGTCAATGAGACCAGAAACTGTCTGGTTACTGATATTCTTCTAAATATCAAAAAATCAGCTGAATGGATTCGAAAACGATAAAACTCAACTATTTAACTCTGGGGGAGTTGTAAAATGAGCCTATTTCCAAAAAAAGTGGAGTATCCCTTTAAATACACAATTCAATTTCCATTGTAAAAAAAGTATTATTAATTATTTTAAATGCAATTTTTATGGTCTGTGCAAAATATTTGCCTAGTACATTTTCTCAATCCACCTACCTAAGGTATTTTTAGACTCTCCCTAATGGACACTGATAAAGTGTCTTAAACTCACAGAGAGGTGTGGATGAACAAAGAATGTATGCATGTTTGTTGATGGTCTGATCTCTATTTCTGTGTGTCTATCTGTCACCCAAGTGAGATAAATCGTCTGGACCTGGGTCTGGTTGTGGAGGTGTGGAGTAAAGGACTCATCTGGGACACCTTGATAGGAACAGCATGGATCCCACTTAACACTATCCGGCAATCAGATGAGGTAAGGGGGCACCACCAGCCAATCGGAATACGGAGAACATGCCCTCAAGAGTCGCACAACTCAACTCAGCTGTCTATCTGGTGAAGCATGAAAGTGCCACTCCCAACCTTTTTCACACAATACATTAAGACCATCTGAGTCATGCCCGGAGCTGAGGTGGGTGGGGTAGAATTGCAAATGATGTGAAACTTTGCCTGAACTGCTTCCAACTGGACTGTTATGAAAAAAACCCAGGGTGCCAGTCAACAGCGCAAATTATATTATTAATGGTCTGATTAAATCAAGAGACAGTCAATTAAGGATTAAAGGGTATATAAATATAACCAATGGTACTTTAAAAAGCTAAAAAATCTAAACCCCTCCATCACCTTAAGTATTACTTAAGTAAAATAAACCCAGCTGCTAATGTAAATTATACTTCAAGGCATGTGGCTTGATGTGGAAAGGAGTGCTTTTATTTTATAAAGCTTTCAGGCTTATACAATCTTTGACTGCTGGATGATAACGCATCACCAAATGTGTTTTATCTGCAATATCTTCATGCTGGTGTCTATTTCTACTGTATTTCATGCACTGTATCTCCGAGTCAGAGTTGTCATGACATCTTACAGTTTTTTCTTCTCGCTCTTTTGCTCTAGGAAGGGCCTGGAGAATGGACCTCACTGGATTCTGAGGTTCTGATGAAGGAAGATGAGATATATGGCACTAAAAACCCCACTCCTCACCAAGTGTTGCTGGACACACGCTTTGAGCTCCCTTTTGGTAGTCCTGTTCATTATTATAGTATAGTATAGTGTTTTTCAACTCCAGTCATAGGGACCAAGAATGTTTTAGATGTCTCCCTATTCAACACACTTAAAGATTTGAGTCAGGTGAGTGTTTTAATTAGCGAGACATCCAAAACATTCTGATAGTTGGGTTCCCAGGACTAAAGTTGAGAAACTGGTGTTGTGTTGTTTTATCAGAATATCCCCCTTATTTCTCCATTATTTGTCGTCTTGTGCAGATATACCTGAGGATGAGGCCCAGTACTGGACTAAAAAGCTGGGGCGCATCAACTCTATGAGGATACATGATGAGGTACAGACTGTGTGTGTTTAGATGGAGTAGAGATGTGTGAGTATTTACAGTGGAAGTTATATGTTTCTTTATGAGCCAAGGCATTTAAAATCTTTATTTATTGTATTCTTAAACAATATTAATGCATTTTTCAAAATGACTCTAGTGAAGTTTGTTTGAAATATGAATTTAGAACATCCTTTTCTTGAATTTGAATAATTTTCTTTTAAGATCCAGCAATATTATATATACCTACTTACCGGTTCTTGACTATGGGGTTGTAGTGTATCAACAACATAGCCTCTTGCCTCTCTGGATGCTCTATATCATGGTGTCTAAAGATTTATTACAGATTGGAAATTGTCAACCCATCATTGTGCATTGTATAAAAGAGTTGTTTGGTCTTGATTAACCATTTGAAGAACAATAAACTGGTTTACTGGGTTACTTGCCCTCAAATCTCAGTACCTCCTGTCAGAATTGATCTTGGTAAAGCTGCCTTTATATATGAAGCAACCTCGGACTGGGATTTTCTGAAAGATTTACTGAAGCCATAGACTGAAAATAGATCTGAGCATTTTCTTAACAGAAAACAGCAACTCAACTTTAGATTTGTATTTTCAAATGTGTATTGATTTGGTTTATGTTGCGATGGAGCCGGTATTTTGTTTTCATCAATATTGTATTGGTACAACTACAACAACAAAAAAAAGGAATTCTTTAGGTAAATAACTATCTTCTGCCACCTGCTGTGAGCTTTGAGTTACTACTACTGTCAAATAGTACTGTCAAAAAAAAAACAAAAAACAATGAGCTGGGCAATATAACGAATGGAGGGAAGACTAGACTAGAGCACAAGAACGTCACTGATTAGTTACAAATTACTTCTGGCTGATATAGTTCATTGTCATTTAAGGCAGTGTAAAAATAAGTTTAAGCAGACCTCTATTTACCTCATTTATGAAGCTGATATCAGCTGAAAAGCTTTGTTTTCCCATCTATTTTTTAGTATTCACTGCAAGATGACGCACAGAGAAGACCTCTGCCCCCAGTACCCTCCCAGTGCTGTAAGTATTCTCTTTTCAGCTTTTGCTGTACAGGAAAACTACATGACATTTCCCCTGTAAACCAATAGATGGCAGTAAATAATTGCTGTTGTAAAGCATTTAAACCTGATGATGTTGTACTATAAGTAATATTGCCAAGATTCTCTTTTAATTAAAAAATGGTCAACATTTACCCTAATTTTGCACCAAACCTGTATAACTTTCATTTTTACTTGAAACATCAAAGATGATAGAAGGCAGAATAATGCAATGATAGTCACTATTTACTTTCATGGTATGAAAAAACGATGCAGTGGAAGTGAATACTGAGACTGTCAGTCTCTCTAACAACGTGATTGTGAGTAAATAATCCCAGAAAATTAATTTTTGGGTGATTCTTTCTTTAAGCAATCATGAAGCCCTTGAGAAATTTTGTAACGAGATCAGGAGTAGATTTATGATATTGAATGAGTAAGAAAGTAGATTTTTCTGCATGTTTTAAACTCCAGCTATAAATTACAACTGTTTTCTGCTATTTAACTTTCTCCACACCATTAGGCAATTGGACATACTTTGGGTGGAATGATCAGCAGAGTACGTATTTTGCGTGTTGGAACTCATCATCTTCACTTCTTTACTTCTTTCTTTCTTTCTTTTACGATGTATTCATTCACAGAGAGAGAAAGAGTGAATCAGATGCAACATTTATAACAGAGAATTTGATTTAAACAACACAAATTCACATACAGATTTTGAGAGTGATTTTTTTTTTTTTTGAGTAAAAACAAAAAAAAAATTTAACAGTAGACAAGAATGTTTTGCCACACTACTAAATGTGTTTCCCATCTCAAACCTTTTGATTAAAGCCTTATATTCTTAAAATTAGTTCTTAGGACAAATCTAAGTTGTTCCCGTGTGTTGTTTCCTTGGCAAAGCCTAGCATTGAATTAAAATGTATTTGATAATCCATTTTGTTTTTATTTGTTAACTTTACTAGTATTCTAAAATTTGAAAAATAGTAATATTAAATAATGTGTCAGTGTGGCCAAGCCATTACTTAGTAGCGTACATAATTAAATTTAATGCATGCATACAGTATGCAAACTGAGGTTTTCATTTATTCTCTTTCCTTTCCCACTTTGGTTTTCCATCATTCCTTTATTTACCATTTATGTGTGCATCATGCATTTATTTGTTATGTGTATTATTTGTATTTAGAAATGTGTAATTGGCAAATAACATCTCTATGAATGTTTTTTAACATTATGATTTTATATGTACTGAATAAGGTAAAGTGAAGATGCCGTGACTGGTCACCATTTCTTTTATATTTGCAATAATTTTGTGCAGTGATCTGACAAATAAACTTTTAAAAGAAAAAAAA